TCAGTGGCACGTTCTGGTGTCCATTGTCTGGTGGGAGGTAATTGATCCACGGGGATTTCTAGGCGAGAGCACAATTCAAAGGTGCTACTTTCCGCGTAGGGCCTTGTCCAGGTGGCCTGTTGCCTTGCCGAAGATTAAGCCGCAGCAGTTGACAACAGTCAAAAAAGGCTTTGTGCGCAATATACCTGAGCGCTGGGGGAATGTCAACACTTGCAAGGGCGGCGCAGAACGCAAAAACTCCCGCATGTATCTCCTGCAGGTGGACGGGAGCTGAATGTGTGTCAGGCTCACGCAGTGGGAAAAGGTGTGCTTGCTAATGACTTTGAGCATTGTGATAGAGAGGTCAACACGAAAAAGTTGCCTGCAGTCTTCACACGCCCTCGGGCCAATGTAGTTGACTTCTGTTGGGAGAAGTAAGCTTGTTATTCCAGACGAATGAAAGCATCCTTGCGGGATTCCTCTGTATGGGGGCGGGAGTGGGGGGAGCTTCGGCCGTGTCATTACTTGGGGGAGGCTGACTTGGGAAAGCCGCAAACAGCTTTCAAAGACGTATGGGGCCAGGGTTGCTCCCGGTGCCAAGACATTGGCGCCGCCGTCAACTGCACCTCCAAAGCACAGCATTCAGCAAAGGCTCGGACGCCATAGTCTACACATCCTGGTGCTACAACAGTGACGAGCGCAAAACATCCTTGAGATGCGGCTTTTTGTATGGACAACACCGTGCTCGGTAACTTGACGATCTGCAATTGATAGCAGTTCTGCCATGCTTCGTATCCTACGGTGTGCAGATTGGGCTCTGCCCAGACATGTCTCAGTCGGGGCACGGACGAAAAGGCATTGTGTGGGACTGTCCCTGAGGTATTCGCAGGAACTCTTATAGCTCTTGGGTATTCCATATAGTCGTCTACTTGGATTTGCTGTTGAACTGTAGTAGTAGTGGTCGTCGTCGTCATCGTCGTAATAGCAGTAAAAGCAATTTTTAGTAATAACTGTGGAAAGGCCGTTTCATCCACGAGGACAAGTCAGCGCTTAGTGGAAGACAGATGCTTGATTTCACAGCCAGGAGACCGTGCTCATGGAGTTGGGCTTATGTGCATGCTGCTTGGGTGATCAATCGCTTCAGCAGCTACAGGGCTGCTCAGATGGCACCCTTCGAGTTGGTCTGGAGCAGACGCTGTGTTGGCTTTGGAGAATGTGCTGGTCTTGAGTCGACAACCTGGGTCCAGCGCACCAAGATGTGAGAGACAAAGACGCTGAAATTATGCACATGCTCGTGACCATCCTGCTGGAGCCCCAACAGATGCCCATCAAAATGAATGGGAGGGAACAGAAGAAAAAGGTGACCAGGTTTCTTCGTGTGCCTCCTTTACCCATAGGCATGGATGATGACACTGAGATTGGGAATACCGCACCAGTGACTCCACCATTGAGGTTTCCTGTAGCTTCGAGCAGGCCTGAGGAGCGAGCGCAAGACCAAAATCTCAAGGCACGTCCTGAAGGCAGTCGGCAATGTGAACAAGTGACTCTTGTCCGGTCAATGAGGAGCAATGGAAGAATGAGCTTGAAGACTTCATGAGCTGTGAACAGGAGATGGATTGGACCATGGTGGCTTGACACAATTGATGAAGGACAACCTCCCAAGTTGGTCCTGAAACCAAAAAAGATTGAAGCTGCCGCAGGACAAGAAGAGATGAGCAGACTCCTTGAAAATGGGAGTGATTCAAGATCCAACAACCCTAGAATTGGAGCAGGGAGAGATCCTGACCTCTCGATCTGTTTATGACTGGTGATGGCAAATGGAAAAGAAGGTGCACATTTGTTGCAATAGAGTTCAAAGGCAACGACGTCTCAACGGCAAAGACCTTTGCACCGACATCTTCTTTAGCTGCAACTCGATTTGGTGTTGGGGACCCATGTGATCTTGAAGTGGCATCTATGCTTCCTCGACATTAAAGATGCATTCCTCTCAGTGGACCAACGTGCTTGGTGTTGGTTGAACAGCCAGAGTAGTGGAAGCCTGAAGAGAAGGCAGCTGACTTGACATTGGACCCTTGCAAAGTGTTTGCCTGGACAGAGAGATGCCGCAGCTCGTTGGTTTGATTTCCTCAACGACCATCTTCGAGACCTTGGCTTTCAAAGGCACATGAGCTCACCTTCTTTGTTCAGACATGAAAGCAAACAGCTTGGTGCAGCATGCCATGTGGACGAGTTGATTGTGGCTGGACAATTGGCGGACTTTTAATGGTTGCTAGGGGTGATGAAGAAAAGATTTCACAAAAGACGGCTTGGTGGTGATGCCTCATAAGCGTTATGTTCCAGGACTTCTTGAGCTCTACAACTTCGCGAACAGAGCTGGGAAAGCAACACCAGAGCGCACACGAGTAGATCTAGAAGGTGACCCTGCAGACAAGCGAAGCAGGTGAGCAGCATCGATTTGGATCAGCTTTTGGGCACTCTACCCAGAACAGAGTTGACATCCAACATTGTGTGCGCAACCTGTCCCAGTTCATGGCGCTTCCAACAAAGAAGGTCGAGATTGAGTTCAGGCATGTCATTTTCTGTTTGAAGAGAACAGAGCACTATGGCCTGCTACTCACGCAGAGCCTTCACAGAGCGATTGGGAGTTGGACGACTTGAGCGCATCGACACCGGATACCTCTGGACATCCCAACGCTTGGAATGTGTCTGACTTGGGCGCAAAGAAGCTCACGAGACAGCGCAGGGAGTTCCTCATGTGCCTGATTGGAGTGGTAGAACTTCAAGGAGAAGGGCAAGACGAATTCTTCTCTCCTGTTGGAGAGAATGCCTTCAATGAGGTGATATCCAAGAAGGTGATGGCAGAAAGTACCGCATCAGATCGAGCATCCTTGTGAGAACAACCTTGCGTTTCTTTCGGCAAGAGATCGCAATGGATTTTCAACGACAGAAAGATGAAGGTTGTTCAGAGAAAGAATACTTCGAGAAGCTCGAGAGCAAGAAGTACGTGATCGACGAAGTGGACGAGATTTGCTTCCGCGAGCTCAAATGTGGTCGGCCAACAACGGAGAGTGGACCTATGAAGGCAGGACTATTTTACCTGAACCTCTTCGACAGCCCGGACCAGATCGACAACTAGAACCAGAATTCCGCAATGAGGCAAGGACAGACTCCAGTGAGCGTGATGCAGACTACGAATGGGCTGGTGAGTGGACCACAGATTGGGATCCAGTCCTACAACGAATGAGGGAGTACAGGATGTTGCCTGGCTCTGAAGCTGCAGAAAGTGGAGAAAAGAGTATTTCACTGGCAATGCAACGACTGGCTTCTATCGAAGATACCGACCAACAAGGTCAGAGCGTGAGGCCAAGAGTGAAGCCAATGGAGACAAAGATGAGATAAATGATATCCAAGACATGGAAGTGGATGAGAGCCCTTCGGTGACAAGAAGGAGGAGTATGGATTGAATACAACAGAAATGACCCGCCTGCTGATGCCAATTGGGACGACATGGACACGATCCTGAAGTACCTGCCGGCTGATGAAGACCGTCGTGCGAGAAAAGTGAGAGAAACCGGATTTTTTACTCCTGGACTGCTGAAAGAATTTTTGCAGTGTGCAATTGCATGGACAGAAGGACCCAAAGGCAGCTTTTGACCACGTGCTGCACTGGGGTGAAAGCGAAAAGAAAGATTTCGCTAATTTCGCTGTGATGGTTCTCTCAGGACAGTGGGAGATAAATTGGGATGAAACCATCCGGCGATTCTTTGAAGAAGGTGTGGCATAAAAGCATGCCGTTCAGCCACGCCAGTTTTTTGGTGGGGTGTTAGCGATTTGCACCACGCTTGATGTCATGGTCAGATTTCACTTACCCCGCCACATAGTGGCCCCAGCTCACCGTTGGAAAACGGTGACCGCCGCGCGCTACCGGCGAACAGATTTCATCAACGACAGACTGAACAGAGAACAGGATGTAAACAACATGTGTTGACATATGTTGGACATAAACATCACAGAGGTTGAGTGAACTTTTGGCAGATGGATCTCACGTTTTCGAGGAGGACGGGCTGGAAACTCTGATTCCAGACAATCCCGAAGCCTTTGAGTGGTACAGCAACCAGATGCGAGTTCGAGGAGAAGGGGTCAAAAACCCACTTGGTTCATGCTGGGTTCACTTGAGTTAGCACACTTCATCAGACAGATTATGTGAATCAGACAGATGCTGGGTGGACTTCAAGGTCTACATGGCGAAGTGGAAATCAAACAGTGCGCAGCTCGCGCAGCCCCAGCAGGCTACGGCTGAGAAGGTTCAGACTTATCAAGAGATTGCAAAGGCTTAGACGAGAGAAACCATGGAGAGAGCAGCAGATGAAATTGAACATGAGGTTTCACAGATGACAGAACATGGAGATGAAGAGAACCTGACGACCGGAGGCCATAGAACCATGGACAAGTTGCAGGTGTTTGAGTGCACGAGGGAGGGTGTTAGAATCACTTTGTCAGATCATGGGTACATGACATGTACAGAATCATGCATCACAGTGGCTTGACCGCTCAAAGCAACAACCCGCTTTCATGTTTTGCCACACATTCCAGAAACCCGAAGCTGTATCTTGGGCAGTGATGAAAGATTTGGGGCAGCCGCTGATAGAGGAAGAGAGTGCATGCTTATAGAACATTGTAAGTGCCTCTAGAATGGTGGAGTTCCGTGTAGTTTCGGTGCGGATGGGTGCCTAGCCAACACTTGTGAAAAGCGATCCATGGACCATGAATCGGGATGCTTCGCTCATGACTCATGACTGTGTAAGTGACGCAACACTTCGTGGAAAATAATTCGACCATGCCGCAGCCATTAGTGTCATTTGTAACTTGCCGGTTTAAGCCCATAAAGCAGACTTCAAATTGTTCAATGATTTCAAGTTGCATGCCAGAACGCCTACGCGATACTGGAGGGTTGACACAGAGGAGTACAGTGGACGAGAAGTGAATCTGTCATATTTGTTGAGTGGGATTGAGTCATAGAAACTCCACCGCTCATGTATGTGTTGATCACGGTATGACCCCCTCAGCCGCCAGGCCGGGTCTTGTTTCAGGCGATTGCAGGTGTGAGGCGTTCCAATCTTCACCAAAACACATCGCTCGTTGTTTTCTTTATTTTTTTCAGGTCGGACATCGGTAAAAACATGTTTTTTTTTTTTTTTTCCGGAACCAAAACGACTCACGAATGGATCTCCAGGGATGCTGGCGGTGGAGGTGCTCTTCCCCACGTCAGCAAATTGGTGCCCAAGACCGTGCAGGTGTTGAAGTCCGGCATGTCATGCACCAAGGGAAACGGTACGTCCTTTGTTGGGGCACACCCGCAATTCACACCTTTGCAAACTTTTGGTTGCAAACGCATCTGATGCCTGAAGAGGCGGTGGACTGACTTTGTCTCCTCATAGAGTGATACAGTCAGCTTCCACTTGTCCAACATGATTTCCGGTCTGTGGCCCTCTTTTTGTTTGACTCCGCAGCTACCAGGTACAGCTCACATGTCGTCGATGCCCTGCCAGATGGGCGTGTGGTGGTGGCGACCAACCAGGCAAGCTGATGGCCACATACCTGGAACAAGCTGCAGTTCGGGACATGTCGTAGAAACCCTGCGACCCCAGAGAGGCCAAGAATGGTGGGCATCGTTTGTTTGCACCAACCTGCTACCCTGCTACCCTACTACCTTACTTGCAGTTCTGTGAATTGGAGGTGCCACATTTGGAGCAAGGGGAATTAAAAGAGAAACCCTATGAGGGGGGCTGTACCTTTACTTGCTGTCTCAAAATGCTGCTAAAGGTGATGATGATCCTGGAGGAGCATTCCATGGTGAGTTTGGGGCCTTGCTTCGCAACCTCTACCCGCCAGGGTCCATCACCTGTCATTTTGGGTTCAGCAGAGGTCCGTCACCCGTCTAAACTCCTTTCGCTCCTTTCAAACCACCTCCTCTTGCCGCAAGTCTGACCCACGTTCCAGTGGAGTGTAAATCCAGCTTCCAGAGTGAGTGATGGACCGATGGACCTGATGGTAGATGCAGAACGATCCTCCCAACCTCGCGGTCTTGGTCTATGTTTCACGATGTCCATGACATGTTTCATCTACTCCATCTCTACTCGTCAATGACGTGGCAAACAAACATGACCCCAAGAAGCATATCTCTTTCTTCATCTCGGAAGAAGCATGGGACGACAACACAGATGTTCTTCATCAGCCCAGCTCGGTCTTTCGGACTTCGCACAATGTCGGTCTGTCCGTTGCTGGGTCTTCCTTCCTCTCCGGAGGCGGCCACGCTGCTGACCGCCTCAGACCGCCGTGTGCCGGGCCGCGCTGCGCTGCAGAGCCGGGCGCGGGCGGGTGCGGTCGATCTCTGTGACGGTCGGTGGACATCGGAGGATGCACTCTTTGACTCTTTGAGATGATTGAACGCCTGTTTGGGGCTTTGCGTTGGAGGACGATGCACTGAGGGTCAACATCTATAAAGATGGTTTGATTGAAACCCCCTACCTGAAGTGGGCATTAAGGGGTATTATATGAACATCCGCCAATCATGAACGCGGCCAAAAAGGATTCAAACTCTTTAAAAGAACAACAGCACCTAACCAACCTCTCATGGCAAAACGGGAAACCTTACACTACTGGAACCATCATGGAAGTGGAAAAAAGGCTCTTGGAAGACAATTTTCCCCACAAACAGGTGGTTTCCACTTTCATGATAATTCCAGGGAGTGTATTCCTTTGGAGAAGTTGTCGACTTTCTGATGTTTGCAATGACCCGTGGTGGGTGGAGGGCGCATCAATCTCTGGCTGCTTGGCACTCATGTGCCATGATCAAAACAGTACGGTTGGATCCGCCAATGGTCAGAAGAATGATCGATCTTAGTCCATTGGGGGCCATGTACCCGCAAAAAAATGGGATCCGCACAAAATTGGACTAGGAACAAGGACGCTACTAGGTGGAGGCCATCGCAAGTCGGTTGGAGGCCATCGCTACGAACGGAGCGATCGGACGCTACGAACGGGGCGCTCCTGGCATTACTACTAGGAACAAGGAGCTACGAACGTAGCAAAGGGCATCGCTACGAACGTAGCCTTTATGGTCCATGCCGGACCGTGCCGCTACAGAATTCGATGTGCCGGACCCGCCCTGGCCCTGCTGCGGGACCTGGCGACCAGCAGGGATCATCGGGTGCTCGTGTGCCCCCAGGTGTCAGGGGTGGCCATCTCAGAAGAGCTCCTGGCGGCCTGCTGCACAGGTTCGATCTGTTAGCAGTTTTGGAGACGTTGAATGCCAAATGGGGATGGGTCATGACCCACCTGGAGCCTGACCAGTCCACCATTTACTGTAATCGTGCCATGACCGCCCAATTCACCCCCAAGGAATTTCGTGAAGGTAAGGGATCCTCTCAGAGTTCAGGGATCCCCTTGTAGATCCCATTTCTTGTTTCGGGACATCACCCCCACTCCGACTCACCCGACTTCCCCCGCTTGACACGGTGACCACATGGACCAACCTCGACCAGCTCGGTTTGTCCCGACCGACCGACCCTCGTGAGACCGGGTGGTGCACGCCTTACGTCCAAGCCTGGAGACCTTGGGGATCCACAAGGTGAGGATTTCCGCGCGCGGCAGACGCACCACGCGGAAAGCGGCAGCCACGTGTTGATCTCACGCAAAAGAAGTCGAGGGGCGGATGTTGTTGGAGTGATGACCTTGGATGTGGAACTCATCCATGTAGAACTCTTGATTCAATGTTTATTCCTTTTTGTTCAACGGTTGAAAACAGTCTTGATGAGGTTTTGGAATCCATGTCTGGTGAGTTTTCTCTTGGATTGATTCGAAGAGTCTATAGATGAAGAAGAGGTGGCAAAATGATTTGCAGAGGTCTTCGGTGAGTTTGTCTTAAAGTTCTTAAAGAAAAGGTCTCGAGAATGGACACGTTTGCTCAAACCCATTTGCTCGTGCGTTCGTGCTTCTGACTTGCCGAAAAGCATCAAGGAGCATCATGCTGAGCCATCAGCCATTGTCAATTTAAAGGGGCCGGACACCTGGAGGAGAAACATATATACTGTATACTCGTATTTGTTAGACTGGCGAGTTAGGTGAAGAGAGGTCGAGTCGGTTTGGATGAAGTGCAAGCGAACACACGGCACGACGAGTCGGATTGGGTTTCTGATGGTTTTTGCCAGATGATTTCGTCCTTGAGTCGAAAGTTCTTATTCTTTGTGCAGTCTTTTTGGTGGTATTGTTTCGTGGCGAGACACTCGATTGTGTCAAAGTGGTTTGTCATCTCATGAGTTCTGCATATCCAGTGTCAATGGTCAAGCTGATCAAATCCCATGGGCCCATGGCTATTGCTTGATCCAAGGCTGGTGATCTCAGGTGATAAACGTGCCGCTGCCATGTGAAAATCGTCGGTATGGTGGCGATGTACTCTGACAGATTGGGACCTCCACCAGAAGGTTTCAAGTCTCACTAGGGACGACGGTGGCAAACAGGTTTTTTTTCTCACAGAGAGATGTACTTCCGAAATGCCTGACAATGGTATGACGTCCTTAGACCGTATTTTGATCCAACACCACCGACATGGTTCGGGTTCCTGCACCGTGGTTCCACCATCTTAGACCACAAAGAATCAGTTCCATAGAATAGACGAAGCCAACAGAATGTTCCGGGAATCAGATCATAAATGCGTGACCTCTATTTTGGATCAACAACCACCCAAAATATTGCCAATTCCTATCAAAGCAGAGGTCAAATGCGTTCTAGCTGATAAATGTGTGCACACACACACACACTTTTGAGAAGTGCGTACTGACACGAGTGCGGTTTGCCACACGCCAACCCAAGTGAACACCTAAGAGTCCAGGTAAGTTGAAACCTGAAACGAAATGGAGTGGAGTCCAACCAAATGAATCTGTATCCTCCATGAGGCCTCCAAAGCCCACGACATGTTGACGACGATCGTGCACATCTGCAGAGCTTGTTAGCACTTTACATCACCGGATGAACCTGGAAACAGCCTAAGCGAGAGAGGACCATCGGAGTCGATGTGTTCAAAGCAGGTACACGGAAGTGATCAATCTCTGCTTCCCCCATTGTGGAACAGCTTCGTTGGCACAGGTATCCACGATGGGCCTGTGCCCCCTGCTAGTCGAGTCAAAAAAGCGAAACAAACCAAATCAACGATAGTCTGAGTCAAAAAGAAAGCGAACCAACCCAAACCAACGGATTCCCTGTGATTCCAAGGGGTACACACTTTGAGAGTTGCTCGCAAGAGCTAGTATCAGTACGAAGTTCCACTCTAAACGATTACACTACCGGCTGCATTGTAGACCTTGACTGGAAAAGGACGAGCAAACCGAAAGGTGAGAAAGTCCGCGGAATTGGAGATGTTTGAACAATGTTTGGAACTCTTAGTATGCTGAGTAGTGGCTTAAAAATTCGCAGGTACACGAGAAGGCGTCCCTTCTCGCTTCACCAGTTGTGAGTCCGTCTTCGTTGGTCCAGGGACAACTCACAAAGAAGCCTTTAGTTCCTAGTAGCAAGGCCAAGAGCAACTAGTAGCAACCAGCCCTCTAGAAACCGACTAGGCACAAACCTTAGGAACAGGTGTTAACACACACATGACGCCGCGTTCGGCGCTCTGTCTGTTGGCAACAGCTTTGTACGCATAACGCCAATATTGGCGTTCCAAAAGACTACTAGTCACCTAAAGAGCCTTAGAAAGACAGACAAAGAAAACAAAACAAGAGCAGACTAAGAGGGCAAGAAAGAAAGATAGGTATAGTGACGAGGCCCACTTAGTTAAATGAAAGTAGTTCGCGAGCGGGACTTTGGTCTTAAACCGCTCGGGTAGCTAGCACTAGGATAGGGGAAACGGAAGGAAAGGCACCAACACACAAGTGTGTTGAGTGCGATTTCCTTCCGTTGCCCGAATAGCGGGTGGGATAGCAACAGAGGCCTGAGGCAAGGAGGGAAAAAGCCCGAAGGCTTTGCCATCATTGGCATTCAAGTAAGGCCGATTTTGGGCCGGCGCACCCGTCTGAAAGGTACCTGAAACCTAAAGAAAGGCCTCAAGAAAACGAAAAGCAACAGCAGGAAAGAAAAACCAAAAGGACCAGAAGAGATTACTTAGTCGTTCACGTGCCGAACTCTCCCTCCGCTCGGGCTCAAAAGGCGCAACAGTTTCACCTGAAACCTGAAAAACCTCGAACAACTCTTTACCTGAACCTAAAAGCCTCGAGCGAACCCGAAGTCGTCCGAGTGACACAGTCGACTGAACCTGGCCTGTGAATACTTAGCAGCATGACGTGGACATGTGAATACTTAGCAGCATGTGAGAATCGTGACTGGAATTGAATCACAGTAAGCCCTGCGGCATGAAATCAGGGGTAGCGTGCAGCACAGTCATTCAGAAACAATCACGAGAAGTTCCGGAGTGCAAACCGAGGGGTCAGTAGAGGATCCCCCGCACAACGTGGGTCTAAGCGTATGCCGCGCCCCTTGACGGGGATCACACCACAGCCCGCAGTGGGACCCTGTGGCGAAACACACTTTCAGAGTTGCTCGCAAGAGCTAGTATCAGTACGAAGTTCCACTCTAAACGATTACACTACCGGCTGCATTGTAGACCTTGACTGGAAAAGGATGAGCAAACCGAAAGGTGAGAAAGTCCGCGGAATTGGAGATGTTTGAACAATGTTTGGAACTCTTAGTATGCTGAGTAGTGGCTTAAAAATTCGCAGGTACACGAGAAGGCGTCCCTTCTCGCTTCACCAGTTGTGAGTCCGTCTTCGTTGGTCCAGGGACAACTCACAACTGCCTGGACCCCTTGCTTTTTTCCGCATCCCTGCCTCTTCGTTCTCAAGTAGTGGCGAGCTCTGGGGTTCTAGAAGCCTCTCGTTCCTAGTAGCAAGGCCAAGAGCAACTAGTAGCAACCAGCCCTCTAGAAACCGACTAGGCACAAACTTTAGGAACAGGTGTTAACACACACACACACAATCGCACACCTCCACATGAATTCTTCCGTTTCAGCGTCGAGAGCCAGGGTCCCAGCTTGCGCAGCCAGGTGGGGCTCTCTGTCTTTGGACGCCACCAAGCAAAACAGTGGAAAGGCTGGGAACCCCAGAACGAACAGTGGAGAGTGCTGGCGGCATCAGGGATGGTTTTTTGGGGTTTGGAGTCGTTTTGTTTCGATTCGATTTTTGGCCTGGGTGTGCCAGTTGTTTCATGTCAAGTTCATTGCCTACAAGAAACTTTTTGTTTGATTGCAGTTGACTTTGTTGAGTTCTCCCCGTTTGGACTCCCACCCGACTCCTTTCGTGTCCCGCGGCCGACTCCGCCGGACTGCAAGGCGTTCCCGACTGCAGGCGGGAACATGCCTGTTCCCGCATTGGCCCTTTCGCCGATGTCGCTCAGGCTGCTTCCCCAGAAGGAGTCGGTGATCTCCCTGGCGGTGTCCACTCCCCGTCACTGCGTGGCCGTGGGGTACCACTCGGGGACGGTGGCCGTGATCGCCTTGGAGGCTCTGTCCGGGGGGGTGAGGCGGAGGAGTTGTTTTGGTGTGTTTGAAAGGTGACTGTGATGACTGCGAACTCAGCCAATGAGAGATTCAGACCTAGAAACCTAGCACTCACATTGCACTCAAGTGTACACTGTAGCTGGTCCACGAACAAAGACGTGATGAAGAACTTCTGTGCAGAACCATGGGGTCTTCTGCTTTCGTCTCCGTGCCAGCGTGCCGTTACCTCAGCGAGATGGAGAAGTTTGTGGAATGAATGTCATTTGGTGGAGGATGGAAGTGGGTTGGGAGACCGTCCGGCATTGTGTGGTGCGTTGCTCATCTTGACAAGTCGGCTCACTTGGTGGGTCCTGTCGGGGCTCAGGCAGTCCCTCAGCTGGCTGCCAGACGGAACTGGGCTCATCTCGGTGACTGGGCTCATCTGACTCGCTGGTCGCGGATCCGGAACTGTTCGGAGCGTTTGGTGGCCCTCTTGGGGCCGCCCTGGCCCCCCCCAAAATGCCGAGAGATGGCCCGATTTCTTGGCCGGTTTTTCGCGACCCGACACACATCGATTCTTCGCCCGCTGGGAGCCTGGAGCCTTTGTGAGGCATGCCAAGATCAATCCGTGCAACTCTGGAGGCTGAGCCCTGGGGATTTGACACTTGATGACTACTTGAAGGGTTTTGTGTTGTTGCTTTTTGGTGCATTAAATGATGGGATCACTAGCTTTCTTCAACACAACTCCTGGACAAATTTGTGTGCTTCACCGATTCCTTGCACAACCAGCCTCTTTGCCGCCTGTAAAAGGCATCGAACCGAGACTACGATGCCATCATGGGGCGTCTCAAAGGCCCTCCCTTGGTTCGTGTTCACCGATGAAGCCGAAGACCCCGAGACAGAAAAAGGTGTTTACACATGCTCCTTGCCACATTGTTTTGGGTGGAAAGAGGATCGATCCATCCAGGTTCCATAGTCAAGATCATAATCATACATGGGTTCCTGAATGATCTTCCACCAGATGTTGAGGCCCTCCAACATCCAGGTGGGGATTCTAAAGATGTTTTGCCTCCAAGAAGTTGATTCGAAGGTGGGTGAAACTTGTGGTTCCAGCTGGTGTTCATGAGACCAACTCCATCATTTTCGCTCCAGCCTGCAGCTTTGTATTCGTGTAGAGGCTCCAACCCTCTGGAGAGGACAGGGTTTTGGGTTTCGGGTTCGTCACGCGACGGCCGCTCGGAGGGCGGGGCGAGAAATTTTGCCGCTCGAAGCATGAGAGGGCGATCATGTCGGTCCTCTGCTTCATCCCCACATGTCTTCCACGCCACTTGCAGGAAGCAGAAGCTGAGATTCAGATCTCTCCAGTCGTGGGCCTCAGATGAACTCCACGGAGAAGTGGTGGGGACTTGGACCCTTCACCGTCCAGTTCTGGGAGACTGGCGAGCCTGGCGAGCCTGTCTCGCGGAGAGACTGAGGCTGCTGGGCCACGAGATGAGAGTGCGACGCCTGAGAAGTCAGCCGTATGAGAAGAGAGAAGTGCTGGGGCAACGTCGCACCAAAAGATTAGAACAGACACAGGGAAGAGTCTGAGCGCCCCCATCTCTAGACCTGTTTGCACAACGCCAGACACGAGCCATTTGATGTGATTCGATCCGAACTCTCGCCACGAAGAAGTTGATCCAACATGAAGCCTTGTAGTCTTTGGCTTTCCTTTCCTACCACAGTCAGTCACCCCTCCGAACCGTCCTCTTCGCTTGCAACGCAAAACGACCCACCCCACGTTCAACTGACAGACATGCCCCCAGGTAAGAGTTGGACTTCAGTTTGTGCCCTGAGTGATTCTTTGATCCTCTTCAGCGGGTGGCCCCTCTGCTCGCTTCTGCTGCGTTCTGCTGCGCGGATTGACCATTGCGCTCGCCACTCGCGACTTTGGGGCCGAAGCGGGATGCAGGAGGGTTCGGTCTCGAAAGCAAAGGAGCCACCTTTTTCCTATATAGGATCTTAAGCTTCCAGGATTCGGACGTTTCACGAGAGACTATGCAATAAGACTGTTATTTTAAAGCTTTGATTTTGCAGATTGCAGACTATGATTGTTCCCTATCGTAGAATGTGACAGCCACCCTGAGGTCAATGGTTGGTTCTGGGATGGTGGAAGCCGGATTACTGGGATCCTGTTGCACATTACATGGATTCCTTCTGCAAGGAGTTCTAACCTTCCATGCCTTTGCTTGACTGAACGACTTCGCCAGGTCTCGTGGTGAGCTCTTCCTGTGGGAGGTGCGACCGCAGATGGAATTTGTCCCGAAGCCTGTGGGAGGAGAACGAGGTTTTCTCCGTTTTTGTCCGAAACTTGGAGAGGATCTCACGTTTGATGGTGACTCCTGGCCTGGAAGTACGCCAGGATAAGTGGAAACTCGCCATGTGATGAGCAGATTGAAAACCTCAAGTCCTGGAGAAGTGAAGGCATTCCTACTTAGAGACTTGATCCCCAACCCCCTACAAGCCTTGTGCTGTATTTGTTCGATGCAGTTTTCGCGCCATTTCTTCCCCCGCCATTTCGCGCCATTTCTTCCCCCGCCATTCGCCATGGATCAGTACCCAGCTGCTGGGGGAAAGACGCTCAAGATGTAGTGACTGATGTGCAAGCTTTTTCAGCGACCTGGGCTGAAAGCTGCCTTTCCAAGACCAAGAATCGGTGAAGCCTCCTTTGTCAAGCCAACCATGTCTTTGGAACCCAATATCCCATCCGAGAATTGACCATGCTGCGCGTCATCTCTGCCAGGAATCCAGATCCAAACCCTGGAGAGCTGCCACAATCCTCAGTCTTCAAGTTTCATTTTGAGAGAGCAACGGTCAATAGTTTTGGGCTTTGGTCACTGTGAGCGAGGGGTGTGGGGGCTCCTTCCAATTTTCAGATCCGTGGATGCAAAGCTTCCTGGAACAGCGGCTCAGAATCCTTGTTTGTGTTAACTTCGTGAATCTGGTACTCCGCCGCCGACGGAGGCTCCGGTACACACCAGACCCATCTTCGGATTGAAGGCCGTCGGAAGTGACCACGTCCGCGTCTGAGAAGCACAAATTGAGGGCTGGCAGAGGTGATGGAGCTCATGCGGACCGATGGCGATACACTCCCTGAAATGCCTCAGACGAGTCTTCATGGTTATATAGGTGGAGCTCACCACTTGTTTGGTGTTCGGATATCCATGGTCATCCGAAATCGGGGCCAACCTGACTATTCCAGGGTGCCAGGGAGTGTAGGATTCTCTTGTTCTTTTTTTTTGTCGTTTTGCTTCCTGAAATCACTCTTCTTTGGTGGAAGAGTCGAAGAAGGCGCGCCTCAAGCGATGCTCGTTTCGGTGCGTTTCGGACATGTGCGTTTGTCCGACGACGCTGGATCAGGGACTGTCCGCTGGATCGAACATGGCTGTCTCTCTTGGTTTCTGGGTGGTAGGTTTTCAGTTGCACTCAAAGGGCAGTCTGGTTGAAAAGGTGCCCTTCACGTGGTCTTTGACTCATACTCATACCCACTTGAAAAAAGGTGGATCGCCGCAACTGCAAGGTCATCACCACTGGTATGGACCGCTTCATCGTTCTCTGGAGCGAATTTGAAGCAACTCCGGGCTCCGGGTTGGTGTGAAGGAGGGTGGAAGGAACTCTTTGTCGTCCTTTTGTGGTTCACCCCACACAAAAGACAAGGGTTCAGTCACTCGACTCTAGCGGTTCCGAAGAAACATCACGCCCACTGAAGCGCTGATTTGAAGCGCTTGACGATGCTTGACTCCCTCCCCAAAGCATCGAAGCATCGCCACAATGATTTTGGTGGCAAAGAAACAAAAAACGACCATGCCGCCGCCTGCCCCTGCTCTGGGTCGGTGGTATTTTTTTATTCTTTCCGAATTGCCCCTTACTGTGCGACCATGGGTGGTTCCATATTCCTCGTTTGGCAAAGCGAGTGATCTCAGCTCGTTTTCTCCAGGACGGTGTCCTCCGGCTCTCCACCTCAGATGCCCGGCTCCCATGTGTTTTGGGCGATGTGCGCGCGAAGAAGGGCACGCTTGGCGCTCCGTTCTGCTTGGATGCAGTGCAGTGCCACATGGTTGCAGTGCCCGCAAATGCCTGAATTCAAGTATGAGTCTGAGCAACGCTTCCTTGCAAAACTCTTAATCTCACGGCCTTGACCCGGCACCAGGAAGTGGAGGCTCTGCAGCTTGGGAGGCCATGTGACTGCTCTCCGAGCTGATCAAAACCTGGCCTGCCTAGGCCGGGAGAAACTCGAGTTTCAATGTTGGAAAGTGTTGGGAGGAAGTTGTTCGATGGCCAGTTCGGGTTGTTCGATGGCGTTTGGGTCGGGCTGGGATTTGGGAAAGCAATCAAGAGGAGTGTTTTGAGTAGACTCAGTCAAGAAGCTGGAGGCTCAGACCCAACTCCGCCACGAGTGGGGTCCATTTCCAAGAGCTTCCATGCTTCATGAGGCTCATCAGTCCTTTTTACTCTTTGAACATCCTTGGTCTTTTGCACCAAAGACCAACGCCTTTTGTCTACAATAGAAACCCGTGGTGAAATTAATCCCCTAAAGAACTCTACAAACCTGAAAACAGCCCCTAGTTCTAGGATTTTCTTCATGCTTTTCCAATCCATTGGACTTGTTCTTGTGTATTTGAGTAAAGCTGCGCACGTCAGGCGTCGCTGGTTCAGCTGCGTCCGTCAGGCTGTGGCGACAACAGCCTTCGAGTGATGGACCTCATGCACCGTGAGCACCGTCGAAGGCTTAAGATGCCTCAAAGAAAAAGCACCTGGGCGTCGTGGGCGCCCCCTGGATTGATCAGGAGCAAAAAAGAGTGTGGTCAGAAATGAGGTTTTCCTCAGATGTCCAACATGTTTGCAGTCTTTTTTTCTTCTTCTTCTTCTTCTCCTTCTTTTTCTTCGCAACATTGGTGCGGTTCTGATATAATTCCTAAAGAAGTCTTCAGAGCAAGCAACACCTTTTCTGGATGTAGCTCTTTGAGGTCAACATTGCTGGGTGGTCGTGGCCCCAGCCACTGTGACATCTCTCAACAATACGGCAGTGGGTACCCTTGAGTTGCGAACTTGTCAAAAAGCGAATACAAAGTGCTGTTCAATACCGATGATTGGATCACATGCAGTGGGGAAAGGTGGAGGGCGGCACTGATCACTTAGCGTCGCACTTAGTGGTTGGTGGAGCCAGTAGTGCCTGATAAAGCTTCATCCATTTCCTTCAGACAAAATGGAGGTCGTGAAAGGGACCCCGATAGACATGATAGAAAAGGACTGGGATCTCCTGATGAGAATTTCGGTGAGTTGTTCTTCTAGAAGAGTAACATGATAGAAGATAGATTGGGACATTTTTCTATCCACTTCGCAACCCGAAAAGCTAGGCTTGGAAGGGGCTTCGCACAGCAGTGACCAGCCTGGCTTCAAGTGGCCGTGGTGTTTGGGGGTTGGGAAGCCCAGCGAGCCGATCGTTGATCACTCTCAGTTGGAAGTCTGAGTCTCTTAAAGGTCTAAAGCAATTGTTGTCCGAGAACTGTGACCAAAGCCGCGGCTTTGCTGTTTTCAGTCTAAGCCGCCTCTGCAGTGGGCCAACCAACGCGGTCGGCATCGGCGTGGACACCGCGTCGGCGTCGGCTCGCGCCGGTCCGAGGTACGGCCTGCAAGATGGCAGTTTTGGAGTCTTGGCGATCAACGACTCGGAAGGTGCTGGAGCGGCCCGGGAGCCCAAGGAGGTCCCGGCGCGCCTTGGCGCCGCGGGACCTCGACGGTCGGCGGTCGGGAAGAGCCAAATGGCTCTATCTGGAGGGTTCGGACATTATCCTTTGCTGCTTCGAGGTGCATACCCTTTCCGAGCCACTTTGGGATGAAGCATATGAGTTATGAAGCCCTTCAATGTCAATGCTCCGATGTGCAGGCTGAGCCCCTTTGCACGAGGAGTGACATGTGTTTTTCTGGTGACGGATGGTGGCCGTCTCGAGATTCGGTCCCAAGTCGCTTCCAGGTTTCTCGTTCGCACGCGAAGACCGGAATGGGACACTCTGAAACCCATCGTGACGAAACATACGGAAGATCCAAGAAACATGGTCACGAGGTTCTTAGAGCAAGGTGAAGAAGAAATCTTTTTAAGATCATAATTCTCCCATTCTACATGATTTTCCATACCAGTTCCATGCGGTGCTATCCATGGAGGACCCCCTGTCATATTCACGTTGGGATTTCCACACCCAACCCCAACCGTCACCCCGGGCTTGACCCACGCTGAAGTTCCCCGCTCGTCACGAGGAGTCATCCTGGCCCGGTCACGGAGGTCTGTTGGATGCACCTGGGCGGAGCTGGCCAGGTGGGGCGGCCTCAGCCCACTTCGGTGGATCGGCTGGCATGTTGGTCCGAGAAGGGGAAGCTTTCCACAGCCGGGATGTTTTTGAGTTAATATATGGTACCCTCACCCCGACCTTTCATGATATTATACTGTATGCATATGTATATGCAAATATATACATACGCATATTCTGCAAATTCTCCCTGAGTTTCCGGGATTGGATGGAGCGCCCTCTGTGGTCAGTTTTTTTGTCCGGTCCGGAATGGAGCGCTGCGAAAAGCGGCATTTCCAGCCAGCCGTTCTGGTTTGTTTCCTTGCAGACTGTGACAGGCGGTGCAAGCTTCCACGTGAGTGTGATGTTGGTTGTTGGAGAGAGTACTTAGACACATGATGTCTCTCCACCTGTCATGAGTTGAAGAGAGTTGGCAAGTTTTCAATTTGGTCTTTTCAATATGTTGGTGTTTCACCACTGGAGACCGGTCTCACTCCTTCAAGCATGCCTAAGAAGACACTGGGAAACCAATTGGTATGTGTCTTTGATTCTCCAGAGCCTCCCCACAGGCAGTGCCGGACACTGCGCCCATGAGTGCGGTGGCGGAGGATGCCAAAGCTGCAAGCGGAGACAGCAAAGGCTTCGGGCTTTCCCTGTGAAGCAAGTAATAGGAGGGAACTCGGAAGCACACTCGGTTCATGGGTGGTTTGATAAAAGAAATCGAACAACACCGAGTCAACAGCCTTCTTGGTTCATGTGACCGGCCTTGATGCTCAAACCTTGGTCAGGTTCCAAGAAGAGCAAGGCTAAGAAGGACGGGAAACTAAAGAATCTCAACATCACTGGATGTTCCAAAAGACTGTTTGCAAAGTGAGAGTCATCATTCATCCTTTGCAAAAAGACTGTTTTCGCCTTACAAAAGTACATGGATGCTGGAAGGACCCTATCCTGCATGGATCCAAAGTAAACGAGAAAAACGGGAGAGGGTCACTGTGACAAGCAACATGAAGAATAAGAAGGAGGAGCAGAAGAAGAATAGTAACAATATGAATAAGACAATAATAACAAGAAGAAGGAGAAGAAGGAGGAGGAGAAGAAGAAAAACATAAGAAAAGAACAAAGCGACCAAAACTGCCTGAGGACCCGAGAACCGAGCCACAACATTTTTCAGATGTGCGTGTCCGTCTCTGTGCCCCCCATGAAATGTGTGGATGCCAGTTGAAGTATTACGCAAAGCTTGAACAGCTGCAAGTCTTTATGGCTCTCCCAACCCGCATTGCACTCACACTATGACCCTTGAAACTGGACGTTTCTTTCTCGTTACCAGATCTGCTGGGGGCAATACACCGCAGGCTGTAAGTTGAGCATGAAGCTCAAGCGGCGTTGTAATGTCCGAGGTGATTCCACCGCCTGCGGGCTTTTTTGCCAAAGTCCTCCCGACCCTGACCGGGGGTTCCCCGCAATGTGAAGGTCGAGAGAGAACTTCACATGAAAACATCAATCGCGGAATTCCTGCGAATGCCGCGGAGCCCATGGTCAGTGCGTTTGTCTGCGGTTCACTGCAAGTGTTTTCGCCAATTGTGAAGTCCGTGTTTGTGCTTGCGTTAGAGGAAGCAAAAACATTGTCCAAGAAGGGGCATGTGCAACAATCTCTGGCATACAGATTAGCAGCTGCTGCCTCCATTCGGCATCCGGGCTCTGTCTAAGGTGCAGCCGGGCGAACCACCATCCTTGAGCGCCTCACCCGCTGCGATGTCCTCCGAGCATTGCTCCTTACACCCCCAAAGACCGCAGCAGCAACTAAGCCTGCCACGCATGTTTCAGAGCCGCAATCCGCATGATGATTGCATGGATTGCTTGGGACACAGCCCGATGACTGAACTGAATTGAAGCCTGCAGAAAAGGAGATCGTGTTTTGCGAAATGCCACTTGCGTATCCGAACTGTCCAATTCGGATACGCGACTTTCGACCCAGAGTGCCTTCACTCTGCCTGTGGAAACGTTTGTTTCGGACTCAAGCCAGGGCAACCCCCCGGGCAACCCAACATATTGATCGAAGAAATCGAGGATAGGTCGAAGTTCAGCGGGGCGTGGGATGTGAGGTCGGTCTCAGGTGGACGATTTGTCATGTTTCGCTCTCAGGAGGAGAAGAAGAACTGGGAGGAATGCCGAAGTTCGATTCAAGGTGGGGAAGTGAAGCCTGCGCAGAGACCTTCGACATCTTCTTGTTTCCCATGCTAGAGTTTCATTTCAACGACCAGGCTTGGGCCTGGTTTCTTTGAGTGCGGGTCACAAAGTCTTCTACACGCCCGTCCGAGACCCAGTGGGTGGTGTGGGCATGTGGCCTTGACCTCGATGGGGATTCAGCCAACCTCGGCCACGGCGATGGGGGCGTTCTTTCAAGGTGCAACCTTTACAGGTCCTCTTTTTTCAAGGTGCAACTTGTCATGAAAGCGGCTGCTTTGTAGAGGAGCATCGGTCTCTCACAGGTTGCACAAGTTTTCCGAAAAACGTCCGAGGCATTGGGAGTCGTAGGCACCGGGTTCTTCGTCTGATCTCTCTTTCTTCAACACACCTGGTAGCGATGGCCTCCAACCTAATAGCGATGGCCTCCTTAATAGCGATGGCCTCCATCCTAGTAGCGATGGCCTCCATCCTGGTAGCAAAGTCTGATCTCTCTTTCTTCAACACGCCTGGTGTGCCAACCCTCACTCGCTGCACAGCTAGCGCTGCTAGGCGCAGGGCACGTCAGTCACTCTCCAGCTGCGGCCTGTCGGGGGAGTGCGGCGAACTCGGTTCGAGTCATCTTCGATTCATTGGATGTTCCTGGCCTCAGCGAGTTTTTGGGTCAGGTCGCATGATTTTCGGAGAGTCTTGGCATTGTTCATCGCCCTTCCGGAGTCATTGTGTATTTGGTCTGGATTCTTGAAAGGCTGGGAGCAAACACCTTCTTTTCTGACAGTATTTGGGGATCCTGGATGAGTGAGAGCTGTTTGTAGCGAACCTCCATGTTTTCAGATGAGACCAGGTACCAGCTGTCCCTGGTGCTGCTTGTGTTTGGCCACTGGAGAAGCTTCCCAAGACAGGCAAGATAAAAGAGAGTGGTGCTCTTCAAATGATATTGTCGAGAATTGTAGGAAAGACAAATACTTTACATTCAAGCGATCCCCAGACATTTCAATCACTTGTTTTCATGCCATGGTGAGGAGCATGTTCCATGGTCGTGGGTTTTGCGTTTCTTGTTTTTTCCGATTTTGCTTGTGAGTCCTCGGGTTTGGGTGTGCTTGTGGTTGTATGTTGTTGGTTGTGTGTTGTGTGTTGAGGTCCGACACTGCGATCTGGCACTTGCGGTTGAGGTACGGAAGTGCCCAGCACTTGCGGTTGAGGTCCGAGTGGCGATCTGGCACTTGCGGTTGAGGTCCGGTAGTGCCCACTGTGATCTGGCGCTTGCGGTTGAGGTCGGGTAGTGCCCGGCACCTGCAGTTGAGGTCCGAGTGCCCACTGCGATCTGGCACTTGCGGTTGAGGTCCGGTAGTGCCCACTGCGATCTGGCCCTTGCGGATGAGGTCTGGTAGTGGCCTGCTATCTGACGCTTGAGGAGGAAGCCGGCAATGCACAAACAGTCATAATCATAGTGAGAACACACCATGCCAGGAGGAGGAAGGAGAAGAACTCGGATAAAGTCAAGCAACCCTCACCTGGCAGGTGGGGAAAAAGTTTAGCCAGCAAAGCCTCCAGCTTCGCTATTTTTCAACCCTAGATCAATGACTCATATAAACTTAGTTTGTTATTCTTTCGGGTGGGTGGGAGACGGGGGCCCTCTAAGGGACCAGCCATGGGAAAGTGCACTTACCATGTCTTGAGAAGATCCACGGCCTTCGGCAGCCTCGGCGAGGCGACGAAGTGCTGGTCGTTGCAGCCACGCATCAGGCCGAACGACGTGTTTGGGGCCGACATCGCTCGGCTGTGTTGCAGGCCCGAGGAGCTGAACTTGAAGGACAAAGTTATTTGGGGGACTTGATGAACTACACCTGCTTACAATGCATGCTTGCACGTGGTTTAATCAATCAAGAGTCCATGCTTGTAGCTTTAGACCACACTCTCAAGTTCACTGGTGGGCATAGTCAGAAGCCCAGAGTGGCTCCCAGTAGTTCGTCAAGTAGAGGGTTATTTATTGTTGACACGTTCCAATCGTTTGATGGTCAATTGAAATATGGCCTGTCCACCACATGGCGTGGTGCCATCGTTGGCCGTGGTACCTTTAGACGGCAAGGCCGGGGAAGCCACTGTGGAGACCAACAGCTTCCAGTTCTTCCAAATCGAAGGCTCACCGAAGATGGCCTCCAGCCAGTGCTGCGTGGAGCGAGAAGGGCCGAAGTTGAAAAGACGCTTCGAACCGAAAGAGAAGGGTAAGGAAACATCCCCAAAGGTCGAGGGATCGATTTCTCCGCATTTTTCGGAGGATTCAATCAGAGGGCACGAGTGTGACATAATCTTTCATAGTGAGAAGAGATGAAGTGAAACCGAGAGGTCCTAGGTTTCCAAGAGTCAGAAACCCATATATATATATATAATTAGAAAACAATTTGGAAAAAAACAATCTTAAAAAAGGTGTGCATAGTGTTTTCCAGAATCATCCTTGTCCTTTTCCTCGTTTTCAACGGGCTGACCGGTTGAAAGGTGAGGAGCTTCGATGCATGGCTGTGATGCCTGTACTTCGGCGCACATCAACACGATGGGACTTATGTGTGACAGATGAACAGATGGCTTCGGAGTTGAGCAGGTGTCCGTGCTTTAGTCATTCAAACCTTTTCTTCATGCATGGCCTTGATGTATCAATTGAGAAGCTTTTCAACAAGGGATTCCAGGTGATCTTGAAGTGACTTTTGATCGGTGGGCACCGATTCCATCTCAAAATGCGCTGTGTGAGTGCCTATCCCCTCAAGACCTGTAGAAATGAGAACATTTTTCGAGGAATCAATGGCACTGGAAGGGCCGGTGTGGAGGGAGTTGAATAGACAGAAAGGTTGGATGAATCTCTCAGTTTGACAAAGGGTTGGCTAGGATTCTCTTGAACAAACACGAGGAGACTGCTTCGCTTGGATTGTGAAGGGGAACCTTTGAAGAGTAGGGTGAAACTCCAAGAAAGAGAATAGATAGATCTGCCTGATGATCTGATACTTTTGTGGGTATCTAAATCCTCTTGGATGTTTTTTTGGACAAACAACCACAAATCCACACAAATTCTATGAGATGAAGATCCTCATCAGTAAACCATGCATTGCTTCTGAACTAAACGGTGCCTGGCGGCGATCGAACACGTCGAGGCCGAGGGCCTTGAGGGTGGTGCCAGCTGTATGTCCCTGCAGTGGCGATCCGAGAAGTGGCAATCGGAATCCAAAGACTGGAAAGTTGGTGTCTTTTTTCAGATGTGAGGATTCCAAGCTACTCTGAATTCATACATGATGCACTTAGAAATGGCGAAAGACCTGGCTCCCAATGACCCAAATGAAGGCTGGTCGATGTGGTCACCTCGAGCATCTGAGGTGTGAACCCACTCCTGCAACTGGCAAGAGGTCACGCTGCAGGCGGGGGCCCGGTGCCGGTGCTGGTGGCAGGCGGTGCGCGCTTTGGAGGCTTATCTCAACTTTGTAGGTACCTGTGTTGAGAACGGTCCCCAAATCAGATGTTTGGACCGGGGTGATTGTCACCTGCTTGTCTTCCTCCCCCTCTGGCACTCTAAGCACCTTTCTGATCTCAGTCCAATGTTCTCAATGTTTGGGCTTAGGTATGTGTCCCTGCTTTCAATGTGTATTTGGCTCAGGAAACTTAAACCCTCTTTGTTCATGCATACTGTTTGAGACCATATGCACGTGTTTGTCTTAGACCGCGGTGCTTTGCTTTGATGTGACTGGTTGCCCAGTGTTGGCACTGCGGCTGCTGGTCTTTTGTCTTATTCTATTTCTGCTTGCATGGCTTCTGAGGAAGCCCTACGGGTTAGCTGGCAACACCTTGACCTGCTTCAAACACAGATTGAATAGGAGCGCGGCGCAGTTGGCTTTGCTTTGGGGCATGTTTCCCTGATGCAAATGGCCATGCCACAGCTATCTTTGAAGTGGAAGCGACGGCGTCAGGAACCTTTGCCCCCCGACCACAAAGGTGAGCGTCCAGCTGCTGAGCCTGAGCTCAAGAAAATGATTGATGCGGCTTTGCAGTGTCTTTGGCAGACACCAGCGGAAACATCCACTCACACCGAGTATCCATTTACAGCAGTGGTCAGCAGCCATCATGACTGTCAGTGCGTCAAGCGTCAGCAGCAAAGCAAAAATCCCTCAAGGAAGGGACCACCCCGTGCCGATCCAGTGTTGTCTAAGTTTCACTGCGGACATTGTGTCCATGAAGTCCACAGGAACATTGGTCGAAAGATTGGGTCCATTGTGCAAGTTTCTGTTTTGATTTTTCGGGGCGAAAAAGATCCCCTTTCCTTTCTGGGAACAGACCATGACAAACAGGATGCCACCAGTTCCGCGCAATCATGTGTCGAGGCGGCCTTGTTTGGTGTTGAGGGAGGTTCCATGGTCAGCGCGCACTTCTCGCCTAAAATGACTACCCGCAGTGTGCCTATGAAGCGGCGCCAGAGCCAGCGCTAAGAGTAGACCATGTAATTCGCAGGGAAAGTTTGTGTCAGTGCACCAGCAGTGCAGGATAGACTCTTGGGTCCATGCTTGTCCTGCTTTTTGCACGGTGCAGAGTTTGAAGATGGGCAGAGAGCCGAGTCACTCATTCCTGAGGCTTGATCGAAAATAAACGTTCTTATGATGGGTTCATTGACTTGTCAATTCGACATTGAACGGCGACCACTTTGCAGCGCAAACAGAAGTGGTCGCCCCCGTTTTCTTGTTGTCTGGCCTTTCTTAGTTCGATGCGCGGGCGGAGTGCGGACTGAATTTGGCTCGGCCCTATGATGAACGGCCTTCCTTTCGAGCATCCTTGGAGTTCCTAAAGATCTCTAAGGGAGGTCAGCCCAGATACATTTCCGTCTTTGAAGACCACCCTCTTGTCTTGGCTTGCCAAATGTCGTGTTGCCTGTGAAGCGGCAGATCTTGGGCTATCACTTGAATCACTTGGCTCCCGCAGTTTTGCCGACATAAACCTACAGTCGCGATGCCATGGCTGCCCTGGAGCGCAGTTTGGTCCGGGTATTGGAAGAAATTTGCGCGGGGCGCTGTCTTGCAGCGGCGTGCCGCAAATGATCTGGAATCTGTCACATTGCTCGAGACAGTAAACGCAGCCTGGAATGTGGCAAGCCGTTGTCCGACAACTACGAACTCACTCAGGCGACCATCCCTTCCGCTACAAAATGCGAAGTGTGTTTTGCGGCGTCCGAGAACGCCGTTGATCACAAGTTGTACAGGCGTAGATAGATTCTTTTTGGAGGGTTGGGCTGTGTTCAAGTCAGCCCCAGCATTCAGTTCCAAACCCTTTCCAGATGGCAGGGCCAGGAGATGTTCCTGGGTTTTGCCTGCTCTCCCGGGTTGATGGCAGTCCTTGACCTTCAGGTCCGAAATTCGTCAGGAGATGTCCTGGTCGGGCTGTTCGTGATGGAATGCCTCCTAATCTTGCAATGTTCTGAACTGTTCCAGCTTTGTTTTGGGCCGGCGTGTGTTTTGTGCTTGCTTTCGCCAAAAAGCTTCATTTCACAGTTGAACAACCTGCAGCCCTCAAGAAGCAGAACTTAAACTAGTGTCTTGCGCCATGCTAGATTTTGCAGCGTCTAGGCAACAGTGCAGCAAGAGCAGATGAATGAAGAACAGTTCTCCAACATTTTGAAGACGTGCTTCAACGACACAGATGTTGAGGCGGGTTTGTGCCGTTGCACACTTGTGGCGAGGCAGCTGCTGACTTTGCAGAAAAATCAGCTTGCGCTCAACGAAGGGAGTGACTGATCGCGTAGATTTTGGGTCCGAGCTGGAGGTGCAACAAGTTTTGCGGCGTGGGCGCTTGCTGCTGACCAAGCTGATTTGATTACATTGGATGCTGTCTCGCATGCCTTTCTTGCGCGCTTGAGACGGCCTGCGCTGCCAGGTTTTGGCGCCGTCCAAAGAACTCTGGAAGCTCGTCGCGCGTGAAGCTGGCTCCAATATTCAGCAAGATGCCAGGCGGGGTAAAGCCGCTCCTCTGCACAGCCTTTGTAGTGTTCTTCCCAAGCCTGCTGCTCACAAAGAGAAGACTACGTGGAAGCATCAGAGTTCAGATTTGCGATCTCAACCAGAACGGGTGAGCAAACTGCGCGCCAAGAAAGTCAACCTGCCAAGGCCCTCTCAATTACGACTTGCCGCGTGGGTGCAACGCCGGCCAAAGCAAAAGGCGATGATGGGCAAGCTGCGCTTGTGCGAAGGATGTCCATGCAACGCATTGGTGGCAGCGCGACCTGCAGGCGTTAGGCTTTAGACGTGGCCTGCGCGGCGGAGTGGGAATTGTTGCCAGAGATTTGGCGCCTGATTCTATTTTCTGCGTTGTTTTTGACGATGGAGAAGACACGGTTGTGTGGTTTCTCAACGAGTGCATAGCGCTGAATAGAGTGGAAGTACTTGGTGCATGTGTGCCGTTTCTACGCACAGTCTGGCGTGGCAGTGACAGGTTTTGGCAGCGTCATCCCCGACGACCCGTTTTTTGTGAATGACCTGAAATCCGCCTATGTCGGCAGTTGGGCATTTGCAAGCAGCACCTGCGTGCGGCGTTCTTTGATCTTACAACCAAAGGGGCAAGCTTGTTCCGTCTGAATTGATGGTGCCGCTGCAGGGCGCTGCCCACAACTATTTTTTGCTATATGCCGGAGCAGCATCTTTAACTAACCACTTTACATTGATGTAGCCGTGCTCGGTGAAGCGTGAATCTGATCCAAAGGCTGCTTGAGAACGCGGGAGCCTCCGGAGTAGTGCCACGTTGTGTTTCAATTAGTCTGGCTCTGCGTTGCTATGTGTGAACGCTTGCAGGTGATGCTTTTGAAACTTGGGAGTTGTACTGTTTGCGCGCGTATTTTTGTACGCATAGGTAGACACACCTACATGGAGAGAGAGAGAGAGATATATATATATGTACATATGTGCAACCATTCATATTGTAATGTTTGCGCGTGTATTTCTCAGCTAACGAAAGCTGCTGGGTTCTTAGCTTACTTCAAGTATACGAAAGGGTGCCTGTGTGCGCCTTGGGGCCAGGGTGCCACTGCAAGGTGCCACTCCAAAATGTAGGTGGGCGCCTCTGCAGCAGAGGTGCCGCTGCAGAGTGCTGCTGCCATGCCAGATGTCTACAACAGCGTGCGCATTTGAAGGTTTTCGGGCTTGGGCTTTGATCACGATTACGCTAACCAAAAATGGTTTGGCTGCAGTCCCCACAAAGTTTTTGCTACTTGGGGTCTATACTGGCGTAATTTTTTTTGACGTGTTCAGACTTTGTGGCTCAGAGAGCCTTAAAATCGCTGAAGATTGTGTTGGCCCTGTTGCGTCCTGCTTCGCCCTGTGCTTGCAGGCTGGCATGTGGCACAAGCAAAGGAGGCCTGGGGGTGCTGGAAAGATGAAGACCAAGGGAATGTAGACCAGGGTAGGCAAAACCAAAACATCAAAAAATCCAAATGGGCGGAGAAAGTGGAGTTTCGGGCACTGGTTTCTGGGCACCGCATTCCGGCCGTTCCAGGCCTTGTGGTCTTTCAATTGAACTGGCCTCCCAACGGCAGCGGCACAGCGCAGGTGCTTTTTCGCTGGCCGAGTCCGAAAGCACCGAGTCCCAAAACGGAAAGGATTTACCAGTGGTTTCAGAGTACACGGCACAATCCCTAGTGTCCGTGGTTTGTATGTACCCCCAAGCTGTCTAGGACATCTTGACGTCACCGTGTACTCTGAAACCACTGTATCATAGATCAACAGCTGAGCAAGTCACAATGAACATGCCGGGCAACTCTATCTTTGTCAGAAGCAGTTTGCGCATGACCACTTTTAGCCCAAGTCCTGCTTAGGATGTGGCAGGACAGGTCGAGTGGCAACATCAAGATGTAAGCAGACATTCAGGAAAAGAACTAACACTCATGACACCAAGAAACACAGAGAACAACATACAACCTCAGATCATCGCAAAACCTGCAAAGGGCGCCTTCTGCCATCTCGAATCTGGCGGCTTTGATCACTTCGGTCACAATGGACATGCTTTCGGAGAATGGTGTGGAGCTCGTTATCCACCACCAGCCCAAGGCGCAGTCCGACAAAGCCGAGATCGATACAACCCGGAGCTTTCTGAGCTTCGTGAAGAGCCCGAATGAATTGGAGCGGCTCTGGGCTCTGAAGACCCTGCGCCCGAATCTCTTTGGCCGGGAGTTGGTGGAACATGTCCTCTTGTTGCTCTGCGATGCTAGTTGGGCTGTCACCCGCCAGGCGGTTCTCCTCCTCCAGGGTTTAGGTCGAGAGGGCCGCCTGGGCGAACACGCTGTGATGCTGCAGCGACTCTTCCGTCATCCACGCATCATGGTGCGGCTGCTTGTGGCGAGGATTCTCGAGCATGTGCCAGAAGTTCCAGAAGCATTTCATGGCTGGCAGCATATCATCAGGGATCGAAACCTCGCATACGAGGTGGTGAAGCAGCAGGGCCTAGCCTTGGAATTCCTGGCAGAATTTCAAGAGGACCGAGAGATCGTTTCCACAGCGGTCCGGCACACCGGTGAGGCCCTTCAGTTCGCCGCCTCGCTCGCGCGGGATGAGGAGATCGTCTTGGAGGCGGTGAGGAAGTCATGCGCCGCGGCGCACTTTGTGGACGAAGAACTGGTGGGGAAGAGGCCTGCTCTTCGAGCCCTGAAAGAAGGAACAGGTGTAGGCTTGTGGGGCAACTATGTCGTCTTGGAGCAGATCGGCGAGGGTTCCTATGTCTCTGTGTGGCGTGCAGAGTCATATGGCACTCAAGAGATCTTTGCGATCAAGAAGATGCACCTGGACCAAGAGGGGTACAGCGAGATTGACATTACTACCAGAAGGGAGATCTCCTTGTTGCGATTGCTCAGCCACCCAAACGTCGTCCAGCTCAAGGAAGTTTTGGAGATGGGGTCGCAAGACTTCCGGCTGGTCTTGGAGTTCCTCCCAACTGATCTCTTTCAGGTGCTGAAGACTTTGAAGGCGAAAAGACAAAAGCTGCCCATGGAGCTCATACGAAAATACAGCTCGGAGCTTCTGGAGGGCTTGCATGCATGTCATGCCGTTTCGGTTATGCATCGGGATTTGAAGCCTCAGAACCTCCTCCTGAGCCATGAGGGTTCCGTGAAGATCGCAGACTTTGGCCTTGGGCGGGTGATGAATGTGCACCGCCGCCACACCCAGGAGGTGATCGTCTTCTGGTACCGACCACCAGAGTTGCTTTTGGGAGCCGAGCACTATGGCCTTGAGGTGGACCTCTGGTCTGTGGGCTGCATCCTGGCGGAGATGGCCATCCACTGCCCCCTCTTCCCAGGGGATGCCGAGGTGGACACCCTCTTCAAGATCTTTCGTGTGCTCGGCTCGCCCAGCGACAGCAACTGGCCCTGCGGGATGACTTTGCCCCATTGGAGTCCGCGCTATCCCAAGTGGGAAACCACTCAACTCCAGCATTTACTTGATCGTCGGCCAGAGCTCCAAGAGCCTCTTCATTGAGATGGTATCGACCTCATCAGGCAGCTCTTGTGCCTCAGCCCCGAAGAACGCATGACCACCAGCTCCGCCAAGCAGCATCCTTTTGTTGCAGGACGTGGTTTGTTGTCTCAGTGCGACTTCTGAGTGCCGCCAAGCAGCGCCAGGCGTCTTTTGGTGGGACTAGCAGGCAAGAATTGAATTTAAGGGAGTCCGTTCCTGAATTTTGTGAATTGCTCTCCCGTTGAACTGCAACGCTCGGGGTAGTCTCGAAGTCCGCGATCATGCTGTTCGGACACCTCAAGTGTTGCAACTCGTTCCAATCAGTGAAGGGCCATAGGACCGAATGACGTCACTTTCTTCGGCAGTTAGCCGGTGTGTATGACCATTGAATCATGTGGACGGCCATCAACGTCAATCATGTCTATTCTCAAATGGGGTCATGGCCCTTCTCTACAAAAGGGTACAGGACCCCAGATAGCTGGAAGTGATAGGAGTTCTATACATGTTCTTACCTTCTTCTTTTGATAGCCCAATCCCTTTCATGCTTGACTTAGCACCTGGAACATCTTGGGAACCCTGGAACCTAACTCAACCCTGGCCCAATTTCCCAGGAATTGCTTGCATCACCATTCCATGGTGGAAGTTTGGAGTCCCCCGCCACTTTTAGCCCGGAACCTCTGTTTTTTTGCTTTCAACCTTTTTTTCTTCTTTCTTCCGCAGAGCTCTGGGAGCCTGGTGCCACTTTTCAGCTTGGAACCCCCAACCAGCCCCGGAGAACCAGGGCTGGTGAAGATTTTTGAAACAAACAGATGAACCCCCGGACCCTGGAACCTGGAACAGCCTGGAACCTAACTCAACCCTGGATCCGGGTGTTGCATTTTTCTTTTGCATGGAACCCTTGGCAACATCTTGGAAGTATGGAACCCTGCAACTCTGGAACCAGGCACTCATCACTTTGCACTCTTGGAGCCATCCCCTAAATCCCATTGCAAAGCTTGCCCCACGAATTCTGCAAAGACCGCAGTGGCTTGTTGAACCCAAGGACGCAGCGAAGCTACACCAAAGAACACCTTGTCCTAAGTGTGCTGATCGAAGATGCTATTTGGGGTCAATCAACTTTTGTCTTCGTTCATTCAAGCATGGGTGCTCTCCTTAGAGTGCTGACTGCTTCATCCAGAAGTGAAAAGCTGGATGGCAGTCAAACGCTGGATAGCCCAAGTCACCAGTCAGCTAATTCATTAGTTGCGCACTCACACGACTGTGGATCTCTGAAACGAACGATCTGGATTTCTTCCGATCGGACGTGAGACGATTCGCTGGGTTGGATGATCTGGAGACGAAGACGCGACGACATTGGGAGACAGAGACTCGTCGTCGGCATTTCCGGCACTCGGTATCTGCATCGATCGTCCAACCTGTCCCGTTGTTTGGCAGAGCTGCAGGGACATGTGATCGGTCACTGTTCCACTTTGTATATACCTGGATCTTCCAACGACCAAACAATTCTGGTAGTTTTGGTTAGCGCAACCGACAAAACACACGCAAAACACCAGCAAAACGACCACAAACATCCGCAAAATGATGCAAAACAAACAAAACGACCCAAACGACCATAAAAGCAAAACAACCAATTTTTTTGGTAGTTGGAAGGTCCAGGTACTCTGCCTGTACTTCTACACGCCTGCAGCAAAAAAAGCTGCCATGGCACGAGGGTCAATACATCAGATGCAGGATGAAAAGATTTCGATCGCGGATTGCAGGATTTCGCAGGATGCTTCAACATGATTTGTTGTTTCACCTTGTTTCGATCCCGTGACTTCTGCAAATTTTCAATAGGTTCGCTAGTAGGTTGGAGGCCATCGCTATTCGTAACAAAGAAAAACAATATTGAACAATACACGAAGCGTTTCATTGGACGAAAAACCGGCGCAGATGGTCCGGTCAGAGAGCGTGAACATCTCACCACTTCCAGAGGCACGGTGATTTGGTTCCACCTTTTTCTTAATTTGTACCGAAGAACATTGCCTGGACGATTCATTCTCAGATTGCGATGCCACTTGCTGCACGTTGCAAACTGTTGACCGCTCTGACTGGAGTTCTTGACGTTGGGCATTTCCACTACTCGGACAGGTGGTGGCACGGAACTGCCACAGCAAGGTGCGCAGAACTTAGGGCTTTCTGCCGGGTGTTTTTCTAGGTGTTTTCCGGTCCGGCGTTTGGGTTTCGGACGCACGGACACCGCCGCTCGTCCGAAACGGCGGCCACATGGCGGAGGCCGTGGCCGATGTCCAGTGGCGACCCCGTTGGGGCGCCCGAGCGCGAAGGGATCGCTCCCAGTGGCGAGGAGAAGTCAGTGGCTCTTTGAGTGGCGATCTCCGGGCGGTTTTCTCTACTAGTAACAAGGGCATCGCTACTAGTAACAAGGGCATTACTACTATATAGTATAGCTAGAAGCTACTAGTAACAAGGGCATCGCTACTTTGAGCCACACCCCCTATCACTGCTGGTCATTTGCCCTTGAATTTTTGGGTGTGAACGGGGCGGAGATGATCCGATTGCATCCTCAAGTCATTTACATTTCTTGGGGTACTTGTGTGCTTGCCTTTGGAACCTGTTTGACGTCAGCGAGGTTCAGACAAAGAGCATCACCTTCTATCGGCGGGACAGGATGGGGAGTTGTTGAAAGAACGAAGGGTGGAGTTTCAAAGCAGCTTTGTGCACCTGAACACCTGTTTTCGCCTTCCTGCCAACCTGGCGTGTTGGGGGTATGACTCCAAATAGAGAGCCTCCCACTCTGTCAGAGGGGACGGTTTCATTTGCAGATTTGACTCCTCAAAGTCTGCAGGATGGTTTGCTGAAAATCTGGTACTTTGAACCGAAGGATGGTGCTTCAAATGCTGCGCCGGGATGGCTCAGTGCGGGTGGGACACCACACAGTGACTGTAGGGAAGCTAGGATGATCCGTGTCAGACAAGCACCTGACAAGCGCAGCTTCCCTGCTGAATCTTTACAGTAGGTCTTGCTTCGCCTCATTTTCAGAAGGCTCCACCATGCTCTTTTCTCGTTTTCGAGGCTGACTCTACGGAGTGCCTATGCCTCCAGCGGTGCATTGCTGGCGTGCCTGGTGGCCCAGGCCTCCAACTACCGCGGTTTTGAGGCCACGGACCCCTGATCTTCCTGCTTTCCCCGTTTCGTTTCATGGCGCTTGGAGGGTGGGAGTGGAGCAAAAAGACCTGAAAAAAGGACACGTCTTCCTACTAGAGCAGGTCGTCTGATTTGAAGATACCAGTCTTGAATGCCAAATCGGTCTCTTCTCCAAAATCCTCTTCATCACTTCTCACCTCTGTACCAGCCCGGGCGCCCGTGGTGCCGTGTTTCAAACCGTTGCGGTTCGTCCGTCTCAGGCTGGGACCCCAGTGATGAAGACCCGGTGGTCTTGGCCGGTGGACGGGAACAACTCGCCTTCGCGTGGCGCCCGGAGGCGCCCGGTGGAAGGGGCCCGGGCTGAAGGGCGGAAGGAGGCGAGTTTTCACTGAGATGGAATTGGAAGAGGTGACCCAATCTTCTTTTTTTGGGGGGTCATGCACGGTCAGAGCATCTGAAGTAAAGACACCTGATTTTTCTCAACTGACCTCCACTTCTGCATCGTTGTTCTCGGCTTCTTGGAGGCCTCGACAGAGACCGCACCGAAGGAGGTCATCGCGGAGGAATGGACCTAGTCGCCGACCGGCCTGACCGCCGACTGGACCGGAGGTTGTTCGATGCTGGGACACACCATGCTCTACAGGGGTGTTCCGGTTTTGGGGGCCTTGACTATAGACCATTGGATGCGGGCGATCAATGTGGAATGAGCAGCTTGAACTTTTCGTAGCACGATGAGATTCGTGCAGGCAGAGTAGCAGTAGAGAGGGATGTGTGAGACGGTCGCGTATTGCGCCCCAGCTTGAACGAGTCACTAACTGGTCAGGTTCAGAGGACCTTCTTCAGACACTCACGGTCCAATAGCCTCACACCAGAAACACGTGGCCAAAAATAAAGACCGAACTGGACACATCATGGCTCGTGGAAGATGTTCAAGAGTGTATGTGGACATATTCTCAGCATGATCTGCAGGTCGAACGAGTTTTTGTTGACACAGAAACTCTCGGACGCTGCACCGCGCGGTGCGAGTCGCTGCTCGGCTCGCATCTCCAGGCGACCCGGTCCACACCTTCACGCGGACCTCGGGAACGCAAGGTTCCACGCCAAACCGTCCGGACGAAGCCGGAAAGGCTTCCGGCGTCTTCTCCTTCAGAGTCACGGATACACATTTTGTGTGTTGTTTCTTTTTTGCTCTGGTTGAACGTGGTTTCTCGGCCTGAAGCTTGACACAGAAGAAACACCCATTGGTGGTTGCAGTCCTTGGCTTCCCTCGTGATGAACAATGAGACCCGCACAGCTGGTGGATGCTGTTTTGTAGGTTCAACCTGGCGCAAGCGTCAAGCAGGCTGCAGGGGTTAGCTCTAAAAGTGCCGCATCTCAGAGTGGTTTGGCCAAGTTCGGTTTGGCCATTGAAACACTGGAAAACATATCCGCAAGTAGAAAGAAACGATATTGAAGGGTTCATCAGTTCATTAAGTGGACTCGGTTTCTATTTATAGTCATTATCATTGTGGGCTGTGTATATTGATGTGCAATGCTGTTCAAGCACCCTTGCACTACAGTCAGCTTGGCTTAATCTCTCACTGTAAGGAGATATTATCCTTTTAAGCTGTCTTGCAGCACTCTAGCTGCTTAAGCCATGAAGATTTTTGTAACAATCAAGTTGAGTTCGAGCTGGTCAGATGTAGCTTTTACTTCTTCCGTGTTTCGCGGGACAGGCCTTCCATTGTTCCAGGGAGAAGAATTTGGGGGAAGGGGAGCCGAAGAAAAGGGCTAAGACAACGACGGGCGGCGCCCCGAATGAACACGACGGGCGCTGCCGCCCCTGGGTGGTTTGGGCCAAGCCAAACTGTCGGTAGTTGGACCCACTGGTTGCCCGCGGGGATGAACCGAAGCGCGTAGAAAGCAGGGAAATTCAGAACTTTTCAGTGAAGGGTGTATGGCATAGAGAAGTGTTGTTCCAAAGACTCAGCGAACAGAGAGCTTGGTTACTAAGTACTGCTTCTTCCAGATAGACTCCCTGAATTAATCACGGAAGTTACAAAATCTGTACAGTATGTGGAGGAAACTGGCCATGCCATCCACTTGCATGAGAATTATTTCAGTGAGTGTACAGAAAAGACTCATGCTCAGATGTTAGTTCCGAGTTCCGGCCAGGAGAAGTCCTCCTCCCTCCTGTCCTTGACCTCTGCGGCACTGTACCAACAGCAGTTGACTTAGCACTGGCTCTGGTGCAAGCAACATGCTGTCAAAGTCTTCTTGTGGTGGCAGGTTCTTCTGGGTAAGTTTGCTGGCTCACGTTGGTTTGGTGTATTTGTCTTGTTTTTGTTTCTGCTCTTTTTCAGCGACTTTGCATGTCATTCTGATCATGTATAGAAAGACATCTGACACAGCAGGGCTTGCAGCTTGGGTGCCCTCAGCGGCCCTTCGTCGCAGGTCTTCCAAGGCCCGTGCGCTCGAACTGGCACGAGTAGCAGCCGGTAGAGGTCTCAGGAGGGCCAGACTCAGAAAGTCTTGACTGGGCACTGAATCTAAGATACTTGGCTCAGTATTCTTGAGGTCTAAGGCGAGCGAAACAGACCGACAGAGTCTCTAAACAGTTAGTGCATCTAGTTTTGGGGCTTAGTACATTCTAGTTTTGTTAGTCATCTAAACAGTTAGTGCATCTAGTCTCGAAACAGAAGCTGCTGTGGACTTCGATTTTGGGAAGTGGCCGTACAGATTTTGGGAAGTGGGACGTTCCTTTTTCTCGCCTCAGATGGTGATGGGGAGCTTTGGTTTGGCGAAGGTCTCGCACAGAGCCCCAGTGCAAGGGCAAGGGCAAAGGGATGCAGATTGTGATCTGCTCGACCTTCCAGTGATGTACTCTACATTGAGTCTTGGAAGACACTCTAACATCCAGTGGAGAAAACCAGAGAACAACAAGTGATTTGTGGCTACACCTGACCCCTCACTGTTTGGAAGGTCTTCCCCAAGCTGCGAGACTGTGCAGGAACGACTAGAAATGAACCTGGATGCAGGTTTTGCCTGCCTGAACAAGCTCCTGAGCGAAAGAGGATAAACATAAGTGATGTTTCTCTTGAAGCCTCAACAACTTTTGAGAGTTTGGGTGGATGAAACATGTCATCATATAAGGATTTTTTGGTGTTGACAGGCAGTATGGAGGTGCGCTCCAAAGTCATGAAACGCTGAAAAGCTGTATGTGCCACACTTCGCTTGCCTTCAATTACTTGTGGGCGTGGCTAGACAATGTCTTTGATGTCTTAGGCCACGGGCTGTGGGCTCAGAGCGAAGGGGATGTGGAGTGACCTGTCTTTTGTTGCCCTTTCGCCGTCTGTTGCGAAAAGACACGGGGCCTTTTCGTCTGAAAAGGCCAAGAGTCCACGATGTGGTCGCTCTATCCACCTCTATCCATGCAGGTTTTGCTCGAAGAGGGAATAGCAAACGCATCAAAGACGATATCGTGATCGACATATGGAAAGCAATAATACACTCAGCTGCTGATGACCTTCTGCAACACAATAAAATTTGACTGTTGCTCAGATCCTTTGACCCGCTTCTCGATTTTCCTCCCTCCTGTTCAGATGATATAACTTGTGTTTTCCTTCATGCTTGATGGTAGGTGAGAGGCCATCGCTAGTAGGTTGGAGCCCATCGCTAGTAGGTTGGAGGCGCTAGTAGTTGACCATGCAGCCATTGGTTGCTTTTTCCGAGGCGATGCTTCGCCCGGCCGGCGGAGTCGAACTTTGACTGAAGCCATCTTCTGCAACTGCCAGAGCCTGGCTGACCATTGGTTGACCTTGGAAGTGGCCCACAAGAAGGACGAAGACCCACATCGGGCACGTCCTTTGGCCACCAAAGCCGTTGGACCAGGAACCTGGGTCACCTGGACCCGCGAAAACGCAACCGGTGAATGAGGAACCAGGACCAAAACCAGGGCAGAAACCAGATCTTCAAAGTCCATTTTCTGAACAAGCCTTTTTTTGTTAGCTCAACCGGTGAGAACATCACGACAAATCCAATCTTTTTGGAACAAACACAAAGCTTTCTGATCGAATCCATGAGGTCTAGACAGAGTTTAGCTGGATGCTCTGAAGGGTTTGCCTGATCAGTCTATTTGTCTACCCCCACTATCTGCTTGTCAAAGACCGCAAGTTGGATGTTCGGCATAAAAGTCCTGTTTCGCAAAGACTCAGTTTTGGATGCCCATTTTCTGCACATTCACAGGTGAATCAGAAAACGACCTAAAACCCACTGGGTGCAGCCAGGGCTGCAGCCCCAGAGTGTACCTCATGTCTCGCCAGTGGGTGGACACCGCCGAACTGCAGGTCTGTTGCAGTTCTGGGCCCCCGACGTCGACGTCGCCGACACCACAATGGATACCGCGGCCCAGGGCGCTGTGGCGGTGTCAGCGCTGTGGCTTTGGGCGGCGCTTGCAGAGAAGCCCCAGGAGGTGCTGGCAGAGCTGGTGGCCACAGGGGAGACCTGGAGAGACGGGGGTCCAGGTTGGGTGGATGGTTGATGGATTTGACGGGGTTTATGGACTATAGGTCAATAATCTAGATGTGATTAGATGATGATCACCTGATGTATGAGCACGATCCATGATGAATCTTCTAATCAATGAGCACGTGGGTTCTTTGACGGTATTTAGATGGAATTTAACCGTGAATACCCCGGATAAGGATGGGTCGAGCTTCAGAAAACCTTCAAGCCCTTGTTCTTGACATTCAGGCCCTCACAATGCATATACAGTGAAGGCGCTCAAAACGTGGCATGCGTCGTTCATTCGTTGATTTTCTTCACTCGCGGCATGCGTCTCATCGCCTGGATTTCTTTTGAGGAACCTCTGCATCATCGGACTGCGGCGGCTTTGGCGCTTGGACGTTTGGAGGAGGCCGTCAGCATCTACCTGACGAATGAGCTTTTCGCGGAGGCACCGGAATGTCGAAGGTCTGAAGTCTGGACAATGGGGAGTTTCCCGATACGTATGGACTGTTTGGATTGTTGGGCATGCATGGTTTGTCAGGAAGATTTGTGAATTCTTGAGTCACTCCATGTCAATCATTGTCAATCCATCTCTATAGACTTTCTTCCTGCTCCAGGCTTTGCTTTTGGCGCGGCTCCGGTTGCCCTTTCGACATCCGCTCGTGCTGCACGTCTACCGGAGCTGGGCGCAAGACTTGCTGCGACGCCAGCGCCACGACCAGGCCGCACTCTGCTTCTTGGCCACCAAGGCGCGACTGGTCAGTGCGCAGTGGGTGGAAGGTCCGAACAGCGTTTCTGCACATCGACGGAGCGCAAGTGGAGCACCTGGGGTTTCTTGTTTTCCCCCTTTTTTGGGACAAAGCATGTTTCATGATGTCACCCGAAATGACCTGGGCGGTCTAGACGTCTAGAACGTTTAGACCGCCCAGGTCATCGATCAAGACCGACTGGGTGGCCCCAGTTGGAAGCTCGGCGGCTTTTTGTGGGTAAAGAGCATCCCCAAAGTCTTCACATCGCGCACGCAACGCGTCATCTTGACACCGCAAATAAAAGCCATTTCGTTGGAGCAAATAAACGCTACATATTTTTAGAGAAAGAGGATGTGGGTTGACGGGAACCTGTGCAGGCATTCTTTACATATAACATCAACAATGCAATCTGAATCTCTGAAGACCAATTATTCTCATCTTTTCAGGGTGGCTCGGTGTGATTCTGGCGCTGATGTTGCCAGGCCCGGCCCAGAGACCATTCGGTTCAGCGCCGGTCATGCGACAAAACCAACTTTGATGGTTTCGTTTGGTTTAAATCTCAGATGGTCTTCCTTCAAGACCAGGGGACCAGAAAAAAGGCGTTTCTTTCCTCCCCCAGTGCTTTTGGACGCATGGCAACCACCTCCCATGACTTGCAGGAGTTTGGCCGAGCACTTGCGTGCCTGGAGGTGTTTTTGGGGTCGTGCCGGGAGCGGAAGGGGAGACGGATCGATCCGTTGGTCGTGCCTTTTGCATCAACCACCTATATAGATCATGCGTTTCGGGAACCACGAAGTGTTAGGACATGAGAGGAGGCTCATCTCCATCTTTCGAGGGCTTTGGACATCATCCGGAGGGACTTGTTTCTTAGACTTCAATCCAGTGGAGGTGCCAACATTTGCCCCAACCACATGGCCCAACATCTGGCCGCTCTCCGTGAGGACTGGCTGAGCAGCTCCAATGCGCTCGGTCGCCGGCTGGGGCCAAACCCCTTACGGATGGCGGGTGCCTTCGCGGCCGCGTGCTGCGCGCAGCGGCTGGTCAAGGCGTGGCGGGTGGCAACTCGAAGAGGGCCGGAGTGGAGGAAGACGGTCCGGCGTGGGATTTTTGGCACGAAGACGACGGCCGTGTTGGTGTTTGGTTGGCTGTGCAAGAAACGTGCAGCCTAGTGTTGGTACTGGATCTTCAGCTGGTACATCAGTTAGGTGGGCACAAATGAAGCAGGGACTGTGAATGTCTGTGAAAGATGAAATAACAAGCGTGTGTCGGGGGTTTCTTTGAGACTCTTTTCCGAGATTGAGTTGACCAGTTACTCATTTGACCATGTTTCTGCAATATGATATTTGCAGCTGGCTGAAGTGCAAAAGAGAGCAGACCCTGCTTGCATTGCTGATGGCGAGCCTTCAACTTGCCTTGCTGGCTCTGGCTCGTCTGGTTGGGGCAGTGACCATCACTGGTCATATCTACTGCGACAATTACTTTGAGTTTTACTTCAATGGCCAACAGATCGCAGTTGACCCCTTGGACTTTACCCCACACAATGCGGTGAAGGTGAGCTTCGAGTATGATGATTCCGCAAACGTGGGAAAGACTTATGCGATCCTGTGCCAGGATTACGCGAGTGGTAGTGGCTATGAATACACCTCAACCAACAGCCCACAGCTGGGCGATGGCGCATTGCTGGCGGAGTTCTCCGATGGCACCACCACAAGCTCGGCTTGGAAGTCCTATGTGGTCACCTTCGGCCCCACGGATGCATCCATCAGCAGCGGCTGCTCCGCAAGCAACTTGAGCCCATGTGCCGTGCAGGACAACGGGGTACCGCAGAATTGGTATATGAGCAGCTTTGATGACTCCTCATGGACCAGCTCGACTGAGTACACTGCATCCCAGGCTGGTTGGGGACGAGCACCCAGCTATTCCAATGGACAATGTGGCACAATCACTTCTCCAATCACTCGACAGACTGCTAGTCCAAGCTCCATGGCCACCACTCAGGATCAGTGCTTGGATCCAAGAGCTGTTCTTTGTGGTGGGGACCAGACCTGCTCTGGTACTGACGGCCGATTCATTTGGGGTGCTGACATGGATCGCGACAACAAGATGCTTTTCCGCTACACCGTTGCGGCCTCAGGAGCGTCCAGTACCCTTAGTACCAGTGGGACAGGTGATGCATCCACCACCGTGGACTCGACTTCTGCTTCCCAAGCAATGAGTGATGCAAAGCAGCCAGCACATGTTGCATTACTCGGCATCACCGGGTGGCTCACCCTGCCAGTCCTTTGGGGCTGAACCACTTGCTCGGATGCGGCGTAGTTGCACGTGTTTGCACGTGTTCTCTCACGGCCTGCGAGAGGTTTCGGGGGGTCGCGATTTCCCAGATCCACTGTCCATGCTTAGCGAAGCTAAGTGGGGCAATGGATCGAGGTTTCAGAGAGAAGGTCAAGATGTGGAAAATCTGAGCCTCCTTTTCGTTCGAGGATTTGGATCGGATCCGGGTCTGACATATGCCGGGTAAGTGGACGGTCCTGGGGCCAGGCTAGGGACCAAGCTGGTGAAAGACATCAAAGCAGGAGAATGCAAGATGCAGATTCGTGCTCCAAGTTGCAGCCCGTGGCCAGGCCGAGAAGTTGAGGGATGCCGAGAGTGGCCCGGGGAGCTCAGATCACAACTGACAGCGGGGCCCGGTTGTGCCCAGGGTGTGAGTCAACATTGACCCGGCTCGGGATGTTTGTTCGTGCGGAGATCGGGGCTGGCTGGGGTAGATGAGTGCTTCACGCCCGGTTGGTCGATTGTGCCTTAGCATCTGCAGCCGGTGGTCAACCAGGGCCTTCTCCTCGAGGCCGATTTCCGACGCTTCACGACTTCGCGCTCTTGGCCAAGGTGAGGATGGTGACTGCGACACCACGCGCGGCTTCTCAAACAGCAAGCGTTTGACAGGAGCAGAAAGGACACTGGAAGAACGTGACAGCTCGTGAACGCCCAGAAGGTCGGGGATTGACCCGATAGACAGGACTGTTTGATGATCCCCCCCTAGTCTAGGGCTCTAGTCTCTGGCTCTGCGAGTTCAAGTATGTTCAAATCACATGAAACCTCGGTCAGACCTTGGTTTGACCGAATGACTGGCGTGTCGATCCTGCTGAGGTTGGCCTTCGACCACCGGAGTTGGTGGGGCTTTCCTGAGCTCCGGGCTGCGGTGCAGGCGGGGCCCGGAGCTGTGCAGGTGGATTGGGCTTATATAATTGTAGCCCATTCTTTTGGGGCTCCTGGGTCTGCTTTTGGGGGCCAACCAGCAAATTGGCCAACCAAAGATTCCGTCAATTTGCTGGGTGCTGGGTGCGCCACAGAAGCAGGAACTATTGAACAGACCTGATGCTTTCTATAGAGCCAAACCTGTTTTGCACCTGTCCATGGAGCATTCCTCGAGTTCTTTTGAGGGACGTCTGGGGGCAAGACGCCCCACAAAGCTCCTCACGTCCGGAGAGGCATGGAAGCGATACATGGTGGAGGCGCTCTTCACAGGCCAAAGCACGGGATGGTTCATTGGGTAAGGGGACGTAAGGACCATTGAACTCATTTTGGGGTGGAATCCGCCGGTGAAAGGAGGAATAGAGCAAAGACACCTAGCTTAAAGGGGCAGGCTCCTTTCAAAGCGACAATGATGCAAAAAGACTATTGACTTTATAGCTACTAGTAGCGTCCTTGCTACTAGGAGTAATGGCCTCCAACCTACTAGTAGCTACGTTTCTTCACTCCTCCCATTTTGCAATTCGAGCTGTGCACTGCACTCTCGTCTGGGTTCGCCGAACGCATGGTCGCGTCGTGAGGCGATGCTTCGGCAGCCTTGAGGATCGCCCGCGTCGGGGCACCTCCAGACACGGCAGTTTTTCCCCAAACAGTTTACTGTTAGGGGTTCTCAATGCTTTACAGAATGGTCGCCTTGGTGCTGTTTTTCCCCAAACAGTTTACTGTTAGGGGTTCTCAATGCTTTACAGAATGGTCGCCTTGGTGCTGGATGGTCTGGTCGGGTTCCCGGCTGGCTTGTCTCCAACTTGCTTTCATTTGTCTCCCAGTTCTTTTCATTTGTCTCCCATTTCTTTTCATTTGTCCCCCAGGCTGTTGCTTGTGGTCGGGTTCCCGGCTGGCTTGTCTCCCACTT